TACAATTACGTTATACAACACATGCAACTATGCTATATACTTTTATATGCTAAAAACGACTATGTTACGGTTTATACATTTACTACACTGTACTTTTTACTGGTATTTTAGAGTGTATTCCTATTTACAAAAAAAAAAGTTAACTGTAAAACAGCCTCAGGCAGGTCCTTCCAGAAGAAGGCGCAGTTACCGTAGCAGAGGACGGCTCCATGCGTGTTACTGCCCCTGAGGACCTTCCAGTGGGACAGGATGAGGAGGTGGAAGACAGTGATGTTGATGATCCTGGCCCTGTGCAGGCCTAGGCTAATGTGTATATTTGTGTGTTAGTTTTTAACAAAAAATTTAAAAGTTAAAAAGAGTTTAAAAGTAAAAAAAAAAAAAAAAAAAAAAAAAAAAAAAAAAAAAAAAAAAAAAAAAAAAAAAAAAAAAAAAAAAAAAAAAAAAAAAAAAAAAAAAAAAAAAAAAAAAAAAAGAAAAAATTTAAGAAAAGCCTATAGAAAAAGGATGTAAAGACAGAAAATACTTTCGTACAGCTGTACAGTGTGTTTAAAGCTAAGTGCTATTATAAAAGAGTCCAAAAGTTAAAACATTAAAAGTTTATGAAGTAAAAATGTTTAGTGTGAGCTAAGGCTAGTTTATTGTTGAAGAAAGAAAAAGGTTTTCAATACATGTAGTATAGCGTAAGTGTACAGCGTTTACAAAGTCGACAGCAGTGAACAGAAAGGTCCTAGGCCTTCGCACTCCCTCGCCGCTCACTGGCTCACTCACTCGCCCAGAGCAACTTCCAGCCCTGCAAGCTCCATTCATGGTAAATGCCCTATTCAGGTGAACCATTGTTCATCTTTATAGCATTTGACTGTAATTTTTCTATGTTAGATATGTTTAGATACAGAAATACTATTGTGTTACAGTGGCCTACAGTATTCAGTTCATAACATGCTGTACAGCTTTGTAGCCTAGGAGCAGTAGGCTGTACCGTCTAGCCTAGGTGTGTAGTAGGCTGTACTCCGCAGGTTTGTTCACACAATGATGAAATCTAACGAATTTCCCAGCATATATATCCCTATTGTTAAGCAGTGCATGACTATATATATATTTATATATGTACTATATATACACCCACTATATAGAAAGACACACTATTGTGTGTGTTTCTGTGTATGTGTGTGTGTGTGTGTGTGTGTGTGTGTGTGTGTGTGGCAAGGAGAGGGGTACCAGGGTACTGCAGTTAACCAGGCGCCCACGTGCCTGCCACCCGAGCGCCCTTCACTCCCGCCCGTGGGGACCTGGGGCACGGCCGCGCCCCCGGCGGCGAGGCGAGGAGGTGGGGAGAGGAGGAGCGGAGTCCAAGATGTGATCATTTTGGCTTGATTTTCCTCCTGCCCTCCTGTATTTCTCCCTGGCTCCACCCGCTAAGCCTTTCTTCCCGGGCTGATTTCTGTGGGGAGATCTGTAGGCAGAGCCCTCCCAAGTCTCTGAAAGGCAGGTTCGCTGTCCCAGCCTGCGCAGGGCGGGGATCTTGAATGCTTAGAATATGTCTCAACTGAGAAACGCTATTTTTGTTTTAGTAAGTTTACATCTAAAAGCTGAACATTGATTCCATTATTTGGAAAACAACTTTTAAGCGTGTTTGGGGCAAGCTGGATATTGGAATCTGCTTTTAAACTGTAAATTTTATGTAATCTAAATAACAGCCACATATCTACATGGAAAATAGCATCCGAACTGAGTGTGCTGTCAGTGTAAAACACACAGCAGATTTCAAAGATTTACAGAAAAAACACATTATAATACTGGTTACATGTGGAAATGATAGTATTTTAGATCTTTTGGATTATCTAAAATTAAATTAATGTCACTGGTTTCTTTTACCTTTTTCTAGTGTGGCTACCGGAAACTTTAAATTTCCTGTGTGTCTCATGTTATATTTTATTACATTTCCCTCGGCCCCTGTGCCGATGGTGAGTTAGCTGGATTTAGATGAGATAATGGCCAACCTAAAGGAGGACCTGAGTTCCCTCTGCTGACCTATGCCTCTCACTGCTAGGCCTCTCTGATCACCCACCCAGTGGGTGTGGAATTCAGGGGATGAGCAAGGCCATGGAGGGAGAAGAGAGGTGCTCACTGCCTGCTCCAGAAAGTGCTCTCCCAGGTGGGGTGGGAGCAAGTCTGAGGAGTGAGTGATTGCAGGAACTCTGGCTTCCCAGCTCTCTTCATGCCTGTGCATGGCCATGACACCTGGCAGGATGCCAGAGGGAGAGAGCCGAAGCATCCTGCGTTCTAGCAGAAAACAGACCATCAGAAATGGAGGGTCTTCCATGTTTCTATTCCAAAGCTGGGCCAGGCGCTGTCACCTACTGGAGCCGAAGTACCCTTGAACGGTTTACCTCTCTCAGTTTTAGGGTGATTATAGTGACAACTGGATGCTTTTCTAAATAACTCAAACAATGATGGTGCCTATTTACAACCTTTACTGGACTGCCTCTTTTCACCAATCAGAATGTGAAATCTGGATTTAGACAAAAGATTATGCGGAGGGGTGATAGTATGTTTGGCAAAAAGAATTCAAAATAAGATAACGGGCAACAAATAGGTGCTGCCCACCTACTAGGTTTAATACTCTCAGGAGTAAAGAGATGTAGGACCTGTTCCCTGTGAAGTGCTCCCTTAGTTGGGAACATCCCCCTCTTTTCCATCGATCTGTTCGTCTGAGCTATTGTTCAAGGTGCAGCTCTGATCCCACCTCCTCCAGGGTCTTTCTTTGATTCCTCTAGGCTTCCCAGCACCACTAAGCAGTGTGGTGACCTGCAACCGCACGTACCATAGGCCTCCTAGGAAAGGGATTGAGTCCATCAGTGTATTTTCCTTTGGAGCCATGTTCTAAAATGTAGATGCAAGTGACATTATTATTTATTCTGATTAGTTCCCTATCCCCATAGCAGGGAGCTACAGAATGCTTTGCAAAGAGCAATGCTTTAGTCTCACCTCCAAAAAAAATCAGTCTGATGTGAAAAACATTTTATTTATAATTTCTTGTATTTATAGTGTGTATCTTCATTGTAATCATTCTTAGAATAAATACAGAAGTTCTAAACAGACCACTTAAGGGCTGGCCAGGAGATGTTCAGAGAGGTTAGTGAAGAGGAGAGGGATGTAGGGTGAACTTGAAATCTGATTAACAGAGTCCGTGCAACACACCCTAGAAACAGATACAGGATTTTTTGTTTTGTTTTGTTTTTGGTTTTGTTTGCTGTTTTTTTTTTTAACTATTTTACTAAGATGATACTAAAACAGAACAAAGAGATTTAAGATCCCACATGAGTGAGAGTCCAGGGCCTTCCCCATGGCCCTGGCTGCAGCCTGTGCCTTGTTTTTGCTATTTCCACCTAGGCATCCACCACACAGCAGAGTTAGTAGAAGCGAATGTGCGCAGCCACTGAGCCTCACACACCACGGCACTGGCATCCTTTAGGGGCAACTGGCGTGGATCTGAAGAAAGATTTCCCAGTTCCAAAGCTGGACCCGCAGGAATCCTGTGGGGATTTGCAAAGACATTGATGGTGTTGGTTCCTGGAGCATCTTTCTGCCTCTCTGGCTTTGTCTGGTCTCAGCCTCAGGGCTGCGAGCCGAGGCTGTGCTCAGCAGGAAGCGGGAGAAGGCATGCCGCTGTCTCCCGCCTGCCAGGAAGTTTCCCTTTTCATGAACAGCCCTTGTGCCAGGTACAATGGTCTCTCTGTTCTCTCAAGAAACTCATCCACAAAAGATAGAGTCTTTTGACAGACAGTCCCACTGCTCTGAAGCCCTTTATATTCATTTCTGATTGACAATTTGGGACCAAGGCCAAGAGGTCATCTAATTCATGTTGCTTGGTCACGAAAGTTGTCCTTGTCATTTGATGAGGCATGAGGCATGCTAATGGCAAGGCTGGGATGCCACCCCAGACTTCAAGGATGTTAGAGGTCTTGAGTGCACTAACACACAAACACACAGAGACACACACACACACTTCGGAGCCCCCATTAGGTCACTTGTAACTTTGTCTAGCAAAACAGTCTCCATCAGGCTTGCCATAATTAAGAAAAGTTGTGACAGTACAGAAGAGAGACTTCTTAGGGTCAGAGGGAGGAGTAGAAGGAAATCAGGTATTATTCAAAAAGCTATGCTTCAAGAGGACATTTCATGCTGTCGAAATGAGATTGTGAATCAGAATGTTCTCAAGGAGCTGCAAGGTTCTGTCAACTAGGGGTCGGTTCCTTCTCAGTCATGGCACTGACTCACCTCCACGGGGCTCTCACCTGTGGGAGGAAAATGGAGGAGTTGTGCCTCTCTGTCTGTGTGATTTGGGGAGAAGAATATGGAGTATCTTAGTAGCATTCCATTATTACTGGCCCCTAAATGCCTTGATGATGCCAGCCCCTGCACAGATAAACTCCTGCTTTTGTAGCTTGAACTATATTTTAGATAAACCATGATTTGACATCCTCAGAGAGAGAGGAGTAGATAAGCCCCCATTCCACGTTGGCAGTAGGGATCCTGCAGAAGTGGCTGAAATAAAATTCGACCAAAACAGACGAAGTTCTACTGTCATGTTGCTTCTGCCTATTTCCCCCAGATTCAAAGGCAGATCAGGTCATCTCAGAGCTCGGTCTCCTCCAGGACACAGCAACAACACACTTTCAAGGAACAGCCTCATTATTTATAAAATCTGTAGAGTACAACACATAACTGCCTCCCTAGCAGGAGGCTGGGTTTTGTTCTTCTGTCCTTATGATATGGCTTGATAAACAGAATGTGATTCCAGTTCTGATTCCAAAGTGAGACTCTCCCAGAGCATCCACGTCTTCTTCTTATCTCTCTCCCTGCAGCTCTCTCTCCCTTCTCCTCCCCACCAAGAAATGGAACTTGAACCTGCCTTTCCCTAAGGTCTATGCAGTGTCTGTGATCAAAAGGACAGGACTGTGAAAGTGTCCCTAATATCTCACAACGTATATCTTGTGTTCTTTTTCTCTCTGCAACTTGATCCTTCCCGTCCCCATTCATCCTGGAGTTGTAAGATGCAGATTAAAGGTTTTGTCATAGCAGAAGGAAATCAGAGGGAGATGCCCCATCTCCTGAGGAAAGAAGTTGAGCTCCCCAAGCAAAACCTAAGCAGAGTGCACATTCTTGTCTGAAAGCTTGGAGAAGCAGCAGAATTTCCAGGACACTTGAAAATATGTTCTGGCAAAGCCCTAGATGAATTATTTTCCAACCATTAATGGCCCACCAGCATGTGATCCCAGAATTCAGACCACTTAATGATCTCACACAGATACAGCAAGCAGCTCAGAGTTCCTGCTGCTTGGTCTGAGAGCACATCCCATCCATGGAGCGGACGGCTCTGGAGTCGCCATGGTCCCAAGATAAATGGCCACCCAGCAGAGGATCCCTGAGGCCTGGCATGTTTGCAGATTGAGCTGCAGAGAACACCTTGAGGTGCTGCAAGTGTTCAGAGAGCCAAAGTGTGTAGGGTCCAAAGCAAAGTCCTTCCTGGATGCGCCTGGGAGCTCCGGGGACCTCAAGCCTGGGCCTCAGTCTCCTCCTTGGTGGCCGGCTTGTAAATGACTCCCCTGTTGCCACCTTTTTTGTTACTGGAACAAAAAGAACACACAAGTCTTGTTAGTCAGAGGGGAGAGAGAGCAAGCCAAAGAGCAGCCTGACTCAGGTATGGAATGAGGCCATTTGTAGAAGCTGGATTCCTCTCTTTTCTTGGGAAGGAATGTCACAAATAAAGCTTTAACCAAAACAGAACTTGTTCATCTTCCAGCTATTCTCTTTCACACCTACCAATTGTACACCTCTATTTTGAAAGAGGTCTCATGATCACCCCCGACTTCAAATCTCTGATTCCATAACAGGGTTCCCAGCGACCTTTTTGTTTTTCATACCCTCAAAATAAATTAGGTTTTAGGAAAAGCCAAATGTGACAATAAAAACATGGGCAAAGGGCATTAAGAGTTAATGTGAGTGAGAAATCAGGTTTTCCTTCATCTTTCTTTTTGGATTCATAGAAGAAAAACCACATGTAAAGATCTTGATAAGAAGACAGCCTTGCTGCTTATGTTTAGGCACAAGCAAGTCAAGAAAGTCGTCCAAGGCTGTGCAATAGCAGCAAGCAAGGCACACACACTTCCAAATCTGAGCACAGTGACCCTTGAACGACCGGGGACACACGTGCGTCTCATGCCAAGATGGCCGGGGCACAAGTGCTTTGGGGGCAGCACTCCTAGGGTCGGTGTTGGTCCAGGTGACTGTGGCTGTTCATTGCACAAAGCTGCCTTCCCAGGCAGACCAACTATCATGGACACATAGCTGCCCATTCCCATTTGGAACCCAAACCAACTCACCTCTTCCTTCTGAAAAGCCAAATGGACACCACCAGCACAATGCAGATGCCAAGAACGCCGGCCAGGGCCAGCGAGAGGATGACGCCTGGTGAAGAGGTAGAGGACACACATTACACTCCTTCCTGCCCCTTCATCTTAGCCCACGGCCCCCAGGTGTGAAATCATAGCCCAGCTATGTAATCATCCACAGAAAGGAATAATTTCCCCAGCCCTGTTCTCAGATTCTGGTCTTTGGCTTAGTGGGACTGGCTGGAGTATTTTGAGGGGTCCATTTGTAAATTCTAGTTTTCCAGCAGAGACTCTCAAACTTGCACAAGGCCCATCTGAAGAGCTTGTTTGAAATGTAGAGTTTTTTTTTTAGCCCAACCCCCAGAGATTCAAATTCAATCTGTTTGGGGTGGGGCCCAGGAATCTGCATTTTACCAAATACTTCCAGCAGATGCTGAGGCACATGGTCCAAGAGCCACACTTGGATAAGCCCCAGGCTTCACAAATAAGAACTTTGCCTGGTCTTTGCCTGCTGGATTTAAGGTCCATTGGCTGTCTCTATCAGTTTTGCTCCCAAGTTCCACTGCGCAGTCCTAAGCAGTCCCAGGTGACCAGTAGTCCATTGCCAAGGTCATATGGCCTGTCAGCCGACCTCCACACTGGGCTCTGGCATGTTTTCAGCAACAGCCTCCCACCATGACCAAAAGAAGGTCTTAGATAGGTTCTTTGAATACATACATGCTGTAGAGTGATTAGATCTTTCATTAGAGGAACATTTGATTGGCAGTTCATCTTTGAATCAGACAGTGACTTGAGGGTAAGACCCATAGCAAGGAGAGGGCCAGGAGCCAGAGCAATAGCACAGAGAAGCAGAGAGGATGGGCTGGATCACAGGCCCAGATCACACCAAGAATCACAGTGATCACCCAGCTACAGCATGCACGGCCGGCTGCCCAGCCACATACCCAGACTCAGTCCTGTGGCGGGACAGACTTGCACTTAACAGGGGAGAGGAAAAGACTGGAGGTTACTCTAGAGTTAAACCATGCTGGATTTGAGCATCCTGTTGAGAGACGCTCTACCTTTTGTCTGGTTAGCAGTACGGGTCTAAGGCAGACAGACCTCTAGGGGTGTTCACCCTTGGCTCAAGGACTGCCTGACGGAGTAGAGGAAATTGCCCATCTAGGGGATTCATACTGCAATCCCTCCTTCCGATGCTCCTTTATCACAGCAGTCTCCTCGCTAGGGAAAACTTCAGGATTTTTTTTTTTTTTTTTTTTTTTTTTTTTTTTATTAGTTTTTTTTTTTTTTTTTTTTTTTTTTTTTTTTTTTTGCAGACAGAGTCTTGCTCTGTCACACAGGCTGTAGTGTTGGCTCACTGCAACCTCCACCTCCTGGGTTCAAGCAATTCTCTTGCCTCAGCCTCTGAGTAGCTGGGACTGCAGGCGTGTACCATCGCACTTGGCTAATTTTTATACTTTTAGTAGAGATGGGGTTTTGCCATGTTGGCCAGGCTGGTCTCGAACCCTTGACCTCAAGTGATCCACCTACCTCAGCCTCTCAAAGTACAGGGATTACAGGTGTGAGCCACCACGCCCAGCTAAGACTTCAGTTTTTATTACAATGTGGCCGAAGAGGAAAGGTGAAGAAGGGTATGGATCAAAGTCTGCTTGGGCAGGCTACTGTCCACATCCTTGGGACCTGTCTCTCTTCCAAAGCAAGGGACCCACCACCAGACTTCTCCCCCAGCCCATCCAGCTTGTCATCATGGTTTGGTTCTAGTTTTGCATTGTCTCTCCTGGACAAACTCCTTGACCATACACCAGCTCACTTCTCCGCTCTTTGGAACCAGAAGATTATGGTTTCAACCAGCAAGTTACTGTTGGGAATAAATAAGGTGAATGCGAAGTCCTCAGTGGGGCTGAACCTGTGCCCAGCTACCTAAGGCGAAATCTCACAGTCGGCCTAGTAGGCACCTCCTGGGGGTGAATCACATGTGAATACATCGTCTTGAGTGAGCAGAGGAGCCAGTCATGAAGTCTCCCCTGGAAACCCCTAGCCTGTTTTTTCTAAGGTTCCCGCAACCATTCCCCATTCTCCTAATCAGGTCCTCTGTCTAAAGAAAGCGGAGATTTACACATACCCTTCTGTCTGGTGGTTTTCTAATCTCAATGGAAACTTCTAGCATGTGTGTGTGTGTGTTGGAGGAAGAAGGGTTACTTGTTCCAACTTACATTGGGAACCATAGTTATACAGATGGTGGCCACCCAGCCTGACACAGGAGATCCTGTGCCCATAGTGGCCACAGTGGTGGCTGAGGCCCTGGGAGAGCCCTGGTCAAGTGCAAGATGCCAGCACGGGGCCAAGGACTCTCCCTTGGGGCCTCTGACACCCTGGGGAGCCAGATCTGAGGCTGCAGGGTGAGGTTTTGCTCACCCTCATCCTTCTCCTGTCCTATGGCTTGAGTATGACTGATTCCCGAGGAGCTATCTGCTGTGTGCTTTTCCTACTGCCTTTTTCTATAATCTCATATTGAACTTGCAAAGCCTCCCTGGTCCAAGGTGGGCCCTGGGGGTTCCTGATCTGGCTTCCCAGGTGGCACCAGGCTGCTGTGAGGGTTAGTAGAGCAGGCAGTGAGCAGAGCTGTCCCCAAGGACAGGAGGCCTATTCTCCCTGCTCTGCTGGCCACCAGCAGCAGCTCATGACCTCCCAAGTGGCAGAGGGTGGCTCCACTGGCCAGACTCCCTGGCCTAGGCCTCTTTGTGTAACCTGAACACAAGGACCAGCCTGTGGCTTGGGGAGGTGCTCAGCTCATGAGTCTCCACCTGCGGGGAGCTTCAAGTGTTTGCACAGCACAGGCTCTGTTTCCTGCAGGGCCTGTGGCCTCTGCACAGTGTAATTTGGCATTAGGGTTGGTTGTTTCTTTTTTAAATGTAACCAGAGACCGTGGTCCTTGGCATCTTAAAAAAACAAACATAATAAACCTAACCATGGTTTTTCTTCCAAACCCTTTGACGAAATGCGCTCTTGTTCTTTGTTCCTGAAGCTCCAGATGCTTGTGGTGCCAAACCGTTCTCACCACCTGAAGATTATTACTAGCAAGCCTCACCACCTGGCTAAGCCATCCAGGCTGTATGGTTTCTAAGGTCATCTCTTTCACAGTCACCTCAAACATCCTGAGAGCCACAGAGGCCCCAGACCACTGAGCAGCCAGCCCAGTCTGTGGCTGGCGGAGGTGCCCTTCATGCCTGGTCTTGGGGAGCTGAGCAAAGTCTATGCATGGACAGCAAGGCCCCCAGGGTGGGGGTTTTCTCAGGGCACATGCCCTACCTGGTAGCTTCTCTGGAGAGAGAGTCTGGCTTCCTCTTGTTATGATGCAGACCTCCTGTTAAAGGCTCTGTAAGCAGCAGAATAGTTTAACCCAGTGCTCTAACCCAGGCTCTTTGCTCCTCGATGACCACTTGTCAAGGCCTAAATGAACTCTCCTTGGAAACAATTAAATGAGACCAAACAGCCATGAAGACAAGGAAAAGCCCCAGAGACTGGGACAGATGCTTTTCAGCCAAGACTTTGATACGACAAAATCGAAGCAGCTTGACTGAGCAAGCATCATAAGCTGCTAAGGAATAGGAATGCTGGCAAGGGTGTTGCCCAATAGTTCCATCACCTCCGGAAGCCCAGGGCAGGAAGGTGTCGTTGGAACACCATCCCTGCCAACTGAGACAGCACCAGCCATCATGGAGGTGTGGCTTCTTTGCAGAAATGCGCTTGAGTCCCACTGGAGGCAGATGCCAAAGACAGAAAGTCAGCGAGACTTTCAGGGTACAGGAAGAACTGTCAGGGCAACCAGAGAACTAGAGGCTGAAAGAGAAGCCAAAGCCTGTTTCCCAGCAGAGCTTCAGGTGGGTAAGGGCCCAGCCTCTAGGATACTGTAGAGAACAGGCATCAAAGATGCTACAGGGATGGGCAGAGCCAGAGAAATTCACTTTCAGGTTAAAGAAAGAAATGGTTTATTTCTAAGTAGGAAAGAAGGCAGGCAGTTCCCGTGGAAGAACAATGGGACAGACGATAGAAATGGAGACAGGCTGGGTCACAGAGGTGGCCCGTGAGAGGCATTCCAGAGAAGTGAGGACCCGACAGAAGGAGCTCCTGGGCTGACTGGTAAGAGGGTGGGCACCACGTGGACGTGGGAGAGCTGCCTGTTCACAAAGTGCTCAGGTGTGAGTCAGGCGAGCAGAGAGACGGCAGTGTGACACACACAAGGAGACCACATGGATACACAAGCACTCGATGGGCACACGCCTCGCCCAGGAAGATACAGACACATGGAGAAGGTCGGCGAGCGGCTTGCCACAGGGCCTTGCTACCTGTTCTGGTGGGCCCAGGAGCTGTGTCTTCCACTGGCATCTTGCTGGACTGAGGGATGCTGGTTAAGGGCTTTTGAGGTCTTCTGAAGCCTCAAGCGTAAACACAGCAAAGGCCAGCGGGAGGAAGAAGCACCTCACTTTCGCATCTCGAGGTTCCTGAAACAACAGTCTGGTATTTTCTCACTCTATTTATAATTCTGTTTGACGGTGGACTATCATCCTTTTCAAGTATTATTGTAAACTATGGACTGTTGACACAGATGGCATGTTACGTAGTGATAACATATAACATATCCTTAGCTGTCTCCAGCCTTAAAAAAGAGGTCAGAAGAGTTTAGATTTACCAGGGGTTTGATAGTTTAAATACACAAAATCTGTCTTAGGAAGGTTAAAAACTCCCATGATTACACTTAATAAAAATCATGGAGTCAAGAAACAGCAATGCCATTGCTGTCTTATGATGGTTTGCTAAGACAAGCAAGGAAGAAGCCTTCACCATACAGCATGGCCATCTTTAGAGGACATATTTAACCGGGGATTTTTCCTTATGAACACTATGCAACCCAAAAAAGACACAATTTCTACCAAGAAATCTGCCAACAACATATCACCAGATTACATGGGAGAACTGGTTTTATACAACCATGATGGGACTGAGGGCTTTGCCTGTAGACTGCAGGAATGCAGGCCCTGCAGACAGCCACGTTGCTCTAGAGGGCTCAATCCCAGAGCCTTGGGGGCAGTTACAACGCTGGCACTGGGTGCTTGGCACTCTAAGCTGCCTTCCCTGTGCCTGCTGAAGGAATGGGTGGCAGGATGGGGGCTTTTGGTCCCTATCAAGCCAGAGCCACAGAAGGCACAACAGCATCTCTAGGCAACTTCCTCCCAGACCTTCCAAACTGACAGCTAAGTTCCGATCTTTAATTTTTCCTAAACAAATGGGTTGATTTTTAACACTGTTAGCAAAGGGAGAGCAAAGAAAAATAAGACAATAAAACTAAAAAGTGACAACTGTTTAGGCTTACGTGTAAATCATTCTGCAGAGAAGACACTGGGAAGGGGACGGAACGGGAGGTGGGTCAGGGACGTTCTTTCAACAAGCTTATACTGAGCAGCAGGCAGAATGCCCTGCATAAAAATGTGTCAGACGTCAGTCATCCCGGCCTGAACGAACTTGCAGTGTGTGTATCATATACACGTATCGCTTTTTCTGTTTGCCTTTGCTGTATGGTAATGACGACTCTATGGTGTGTCTAGTAACATAACAGAGATGGAGAAGTGGTTCTGGCTGTGCTGAGTGAGATTAAGTCACCTGCAGGGGAACGGAGAGGACTTCCAGAAGGACATGATGAGAATTGGGTCTTGAAAGAATTTTCCAGATGGAGGAGGGAGGGGACACCTCAGACATCAAGTGTGTGTACTTGAAAGCATCTGCCCTACGGTTTTGGGGGCTGGGGCCAAGAGGGCAGGGATAGGGCTGTGGGGAGATGACATGGAAGGATCAGCTGGGGCCCCGTCACCAAGGGTGGGTCCAGCCTTCTGCCCAGCCCTTTTTCCCACTGTCTTTCCTGAACATAGTCCATTCTGTGCCACGGGCTGTGTTTAGCAGCAAGGTAACAGCCGCCATGGGG